TACATATGACACAGGTAGAGGGGTATATGAAAAAGGATTTCATGGGACAAATATTGAAACTGATTCAAATGGAGGCTTCACAAAGGAGCTGAGGTGGAAACTTCACAATAAAAATCTCAATGACAACTGGATAGCTCATTGACCCTTAATGTGAAAAAAATGCAACAAGGTCTGAGTGGTTCACTAAAGCTTTAAGTTTAGGTAGATTTTAAATTGTCCTTTCGATCCATAAATGACTGTCTCCTCTCTCTTGGTGAAAAGGGCAAGAAAGGTCCAAGTAGCTTTTTGGGAATCATTTCAGTGTCTGAACAAGTACCAAGCAGTTGATTCTAGTACTCAAAATTAAGTCACTCAAGAAAATTATCTTCTTTATTTTTATTTTTAGTTTCATTTTTAAAAGGCATGTTTAGGGACAAGTACAAACGCTAATTTTTTTAAAAAAAAATTACAATTGTGCTGAATTTCACTTTCTTCATTGCTAAAAAGTAATTTGACAGTTTCCTCAAGTAGGAAAATTGAAATTTGGGAGCAAATCTATCTATAGAGTTAATGCTCTAATTGCTGTATTTGGTGGACCTGATAATCAGGAAAGGTAAGCAAAGTACACACCTGTCAACCATATTTTTTAAAAAAACTCATGTATTTGTTTAAAAGATGTAGAAAACGTATTTTTAGGGTAAACCTTCCCAAAGTGGCATAACAACAAAACGTAAAACCAAGCAACATTAAAATATTTAGAAAATAGAGATAAGCCATGATAAAATGAAAATGGATGATTCAAAACAGATTTGTAAGATATTCACTCTGGCACCAGCGGAACCAAAGATAAGTGTTTAGGTCAGGTGTGCAGAATTTCTAGACCTCTGGGGGAGTTTTGGCTTACAACTCCCATCAGCCTCAAACACCATGGCTAATGGCAAGAGACTATGGATATTGTAGACCCAAAGCTCTGGAGAACTTAAAAGTTCTCCAACTCTGAAGGCCTATAATGATGCAGTTCATAATGAGCTGAGCTGTGCTATTGCAAAGCATCAGATTACTAAAAATCCGACAATTTGTGTGTTGCCTGAACAGAACAAAGACAAAACCAAAGAGTTCAGAAGGACAAATTAGACTGAAAAAGCTTCCTGCTCGAAGTTACAGAGTTGTCATGTTTTGAGGTTGTCAGGTAATATTCATATTCCCCATCCAGTTTTCCTATGTCATTTTTCTCCAGTACCACTTACAGCTAACACAAACAATTTCCGTACCCATGGAGAGCAGCTATGAATCATTTCCTCAGAAGCAACAGATACTGTTGAGTACTTACAATAGATCTGACGAGGTTCTCTTTTGCCAGTTTCAGCGATGCCTTGTAGCAATTTGCCAGGTCTTCTTTATGGCTATCACTAATATGCCCTCGTGCTATAGGGCCCACGGTATGAATGACATCTGAAAAGAATAGTCAAATAAACAAATGAGTGTCAAATAAATAGCATTGAATCTTTAATCAGATCGTATAAAATGTCAAACTGCAATCATGAAAGTCTACACAGATATACCAGAAGAGATCACAGAGAAACTGAATAAAGTATGATTACAAAGGTGGCATCTGCATCAGGATATTTAAGTTCACAGAATCATAGAATCATAGAAAAATGGAGTCCGACTCAAACTTATAGGCCCCTCCTAACTCCTGCTCCATGCAGGAATTCAGATCAAAGCAGATCTGATAGAGGGTTGCCTAATTTTCTCTTGAAGGCCTCCAGCACTGGAATATGTCCATTTTATCAATGGGACTCATTTAAATGTTGCTTTTTAAAAGTTCTGCTTATTTAATGGGCTTACTCTATGTGGAACTAACAACTGGATTTAGCCTTGGCTATTATGTGCCATCACGTTGCATCTGACTTATGGAGACCTAAGCAGGGTGGGTTTTTTTCTTTTTCTTTTCTTTTCTTTTCTTTTTTCTTTTTCTTTTTTTTGGAAGCTTGAAAGATGTCCAAGAAGCAGTTTAACATAACCAACCCTCCACGCACATACCAGGCAATTTCCAGGGGTGAATGACAATTTGAACTTTAGAGCTCAGGTCAAACACTCTACCAACTCTACCATACTATCTTTCACTATGTTGCTACTTCATGCAAATTCCAGTTATAACCCACTCCTTGAAGATATCACATTGCTCCTTGACAAGCTCGTATATCTCACAAACCCTTGTAGCACTGTTGTAAAACAGAAGCAACTTGATGGCACATAGCAGCAGCAGCAACAACCTGATTAGAACAATGCCACACAATCCAATTTTCAGTGTGCTATCAGAGTAAGATGGAAAAGCATGCACGGAGGAATTTGAGGATAGCTGCTGCATGTCACAGAAAGGTATCTACAGGATTTGACTCCGGTGGTTATCAGCATCACACATAAAAACTACTGATGCTTCCCCCAATCCACCACATGGAAATTACAGTTTTCTATTTTTCACTATCATTAATTATACCTCCAGCAGGTTTCTCTCCCTGCTATTCTGTCTTATTCCCCAAACATTCACTGTCCATTTTTCAATAGTAAGAAATCAAAACAATGGTACACTGTCCTCAGTCGGCTAAAAAACCCCATAACTTTCAAAACAGGGCAACCATCCAAGAGTAGCCTAAACTAAACATCTCAGAGCATTCTCTAGCTCTCCAAAGCCTTCCAGACTCAAATCACGTTTCAGTTTGCCAATCTTTGTAGATTAGCTAATGCAAAAATTGAAACGACTGCCAAAAGGCAACTCTCGCTAAGGATTTTTTTTTTGTCAGTAACCTCCAAGAGTCTGCCACAAACCAAACATGGAAGGATTTACACAGGCAAACTTTCTGAAAGCTATAAGAATAAAAAATTCATAGTGAGAAGCATACAAAAAGAAAACTATCAGCCTCCCTCCTATAATCACAGTTGTTTCTCCTGGTTATAGCAGCAAAACTGGATTATTTGCTTTGATTATTGCATCTACAATATTTAGCCGCAAAGCCCTTTAAAATTGATTCCAAAAACTGGAATCTGATGTTAGATGACAAGAAGGATGGCAACCAGTGATCAAAAACAGGTACAGTGTTTTTACCCTTCAGCTAAACCGAGCATTAAAATCCGTATGTATTTTATGCAGTACAATAATAGAGAACTGTTGCTGGCGGAACAAACAAATACGTAAACGCACTGGGAGAAATATGTGCTTCCACATTTCATTTTCAAAACCCTTCAATTACAGCTGTTTATGGCATTTGACTGCAACAGCTTGCTCAGTGAACTATGTAAAACAAAATGTCTTTGCATGTAAAGTGATGATGCTGGATGTTGTTTGCAAAAAAATGGAAATGTTCTTAAGGTCAACACCCACCCAGTGCACAACACGGAGAAGCTCCATTTTATTTATGCTGCCAGACTTTTGGATTCCATAAGACCCTGCCACAGTAGGACCTTGTCATCAGCAATCAAGATTCAGCATCTCAAAACAGTGCTGGTTTGTGGGACTAGCCAACAAACTTGACATTTTACTGGCAAACTAGACCGGCAATATTAATCCATCATTCATAATTAACAATGTCCAAATAGTGTATTAATGTGCACATGCTGCACGATGGTATCCGAGCTGCAAATGAGGCTGTTAATTGCTAAACATTTGCGCTGATGTTACAGACTGCCACAACAGGCAATCTGATGCCTTGCAATGAGGAGCTGATCCTAGAGAGGCAATTCGATGTCTTGATTGCTTTGCAAATTAAAATTAGGCCATCACCCCTGTATATTGCTGTATATTTGACTGCATCTTCTTAATACACCACTATGTGTGTAATCAAGATAATCCAACTGCAAAAGGTAACTGTTGGGGATACCAAAGACTATCAGAGATATATTTGGAGTGTAAAGATGTATGGCAGCATCACCTTAGCAGAATTCAGAAGTAATTATTCTTTATTCACAATTATTTATCACATTATATACTCCGTTCTTCCATACACATTCAAGGCAGCTTACAAACTTCATAACAAAATAAAACCTCTATTATAAAAAAACATTGAAATCAACTAAGTACACAGCTGAAAACAACAGGAGACCAGATCAAATATCGCATGCATGTTTCAAAGGATGGACTTTTACACTCTCCTCAAAAACAGTCCGAGTGGAAACTGATCTCAACTCTGAAGGGAGTATATTCCTTATAGGAGCCACACAGGAGAAGGTCCTTTCCTGCTGCCTGATAGGTAGACCTCTACAACTGTAAATATTCTTTTGAATATCAGATCTTAACATCCAGACAGGTTCATAACAAGGCAGGTGGTCCTCTTTATCTAAAGCCCATTTAGGGCTTTAAATATTAAATCAACATCTTAAGTTGGCCTGGCAAGCAACACACAAACAGTGCAAGTGTAATTAAGCTGCAGATAACTGTTGCTAAGTTTTGTAGACTCATGAAAGGTTGTGTGTGTGTGTGTGTGTGTTCTGCGCCGTCAGCCTAGAACCAACTTATAGCAACCATAATAAGGTTTTCAAGGTAAGTGAGATATTCAATGAGTGATTTTACCAGTTCCACTCCTCCAGTCAGTTTCCATGGCTGAGCGGGGATTCGAACCCTGTTCTCTAGAGTCCTAGTCCATCACTCTATCCACAACACCACACTGAGAATCAGAAAGGTTGTAGCTGGCACAATAAACAGAGATGTACAAAGGTACTCCTTATCAGTTCTGCCACCTCGGAATCTGGGAACAGTGCAGAATCAAAGAGTACTCCTAGATTATAACTTGACCTTCTAGAACAGGTGGAACCCCAATTCCTCAATCTGACTTTCTATTGACTAGCAGCATCTCCAGCTTCTCAGCATTTAATTTTAGGTTGTTTACCCTCATCCAGCCCATTGTCTAGCTCAGGTTACATCCAAGGGTCTCAACTGGTTCTTTGGTGTTGGGGAACAAGGAGCAGTAAAAATGGGTGTCATAAGCATATTGGTACCTCACTCCAAAGCTTCAGATGACTTATCCCAGCTATTTCATGTAGATGCTAAATAATTCAGAGGATAAAGTGGAGTCCTAGGGGATGCCAAAGGCTGTGATGTCAAACAGTGCTCCCCTAGTACCATCTTCAGTGTATGTCCTGACAAGAAGGATTGGGACCACTGAAATATAGTACCCCCAATCCCCAACCCAGCTAGATGATTTACCAGAATGCCATGACCAATGCTATGGATTGCCTCTCTTGCAGAACTAATACCTACAAAGCTGACAAAACTAGTCTCAGTCTCATATTTGGGCCATAATGGGTCCAGATAACCATTTACAAAATAGCCAGTCAAGTAAATAATCATTTATGATTCCTTTCTCAAATTATAAGGTCATAATTAAATTACATTATGATTGTCTAAGGGTAACTTCATTTCTTTTGTAATGTGAATGTAATATTTTAGGTCCTATTATAGCTACGTTTATATCGCCTTATCGAAAGGTGCTGGAGAACTAGCACCTGGTTCAAGTATTGGCTCATGTTGTGTCTTATGCTGCTGGCTTGTGTTCTGTTGGGAGCTCTTAAAATAATAAAATGACTTGAAATGACTTCTGATGGATGTGAAAGAAAAATGTGCAAAGGCAGGACTACAACTAAATATTAATAAGGCAAAAATCTTGCCTACAAAATCATATAGCTCTAATGTTGACAATGAAAAAACCAAAATTGTTCAATATTTTCTGTACCTCAGTTCAATTATCAATTCAAATGGACACAGCAAACAAGAATCAGAAGAAATGTTAGACTTGGAAGGGCAGTTATGAAGGAACTAGAAAGATTCTCAAGTGCACCAAAGTATCACTGGAGATCAAGGTGAAGATGATCTACTTGATAGTATTCCTGATTAGTACGTATAGATGTGAATGCAGGGCAGTGAAAAAAGCTGACTAGAAAGAAAATGATTAATTTGAAACCTGTACTGGAGAAGAGCTTTGTGATACCATAGACTGCCAGAAAGCCAAATAAATGAGTACTGGATGAAAAACAATCCTGAATTCTCCCTAGAAGCAGAAATGACTAAACTGAGGCTGTTGTACTTTCTGCACAATGTGAGAAGAAAGGACTCACTGGAAAAGACAATAATGTTGTGAAAAGTTGAAGGCATCATAAAAAGAGGAAGGCCCAATAACAGATGATTGACGCAATAAAGAAAACCATTGCTTTGGTTTGCAATAACTAAGCTGAGCAGTTGACAACTGAGCATTTGGGAGGTCATTCATTCAAAGGGTCTCCATAAGTCAGATGCAAGGTATGGTAAAGCACAAGATGACAACAAGGTGGATGGAATATGCCTTGTACTACAGGCTAGCCATTTGTAGCATTCACATTTCTTTTTAATGTAACTAAAAGGGACTATGTTAGCTATTTCTGCAAAGCAGGGATGTAAACAGTTACTTTAAAAAAAAGAATGG